GGGGGAATTGTTAGGTATTTTTAGTCAGATAGATATTGGTCAGATACTTGTTGTATTAGAAATGTTTAGAGTAGACAGGATGTCTAGTTAGCCAGTCTCATGAATGCTGCAGGATGCTTATGGTCAAGGATAACTAGATAAAAAAGTTTGACTGTCAGCAGACAGGATGTTTAATATTATTATTATGACGTGTATAACTGTAGCCATAGCCATAATATTTTCTCATGTTCAGTGTTATGACATGTCACTAGAGGTCGTGTTAGAATGTATTTTACAGTGCCTTGCGAAAGTATTCGGCCCCCTTGCACTTTGCGACCTTTTGCCCCCTTTCAGGCTTCAAACATAAAGATATAAAACTGTAATTTTTTGTGAAGAATCAACAACAAGTGGGACACAATCATGAAGTGGAATGAAATTTATTGGATATTTCAAACTTTTTTAACAAATAAAAAACTGAATAATTGGGCGTGCAAAATTATTCAGCCCCTTTACTTTCAGTGCAGCAAACTCTCTCCAGAAGTTCAGTGAGGATCTCTGAATGATCCAATGTTGACCTAAATGACTAATGATGATAAATAGAATCCACCTGTGTGTAATCAAGTCTCCGTATAAATGCACCTGCACTGTGATAGTCTCAGAGGTCCGTTTAAAGCGCAGAGAGCATCATGAAGAACAAGGAACACACCAGGCAGGTCTGAGATACTGTTGTGGAGAAGTTTAAAGCTGGATTTGGATACAAAAAGATTTTCCAAGCTTTAAACATCCCAAGGAGCACTGTGCAAGCGATAATATTGAAATGGAAGGAGTATCAGACCACTGCAAATCTACCAAGACCTGGCCGTCCCTCTAAACTTTCAGCTCATACAAGGAGAAGACTGATCAGAGATGCAGCCAAGAGGCCCATGATCACTCTGGATGAACTGCAGAGATCTACAGCTGAGGTGGGAGACTCTGTCCATAGGACAACAATCAGTCGTATACTGCACAAATCTGGCCTTTATGGAAGAGTGGCAAGAAGAAAGCCATTTCTTAAAGATATCCATAAAAAGTGTTGTTTAAAGTTTGCCACAAGCCACCTGGGAGACACACCAAACATGTGGAAGAAGGTGCTCTGGTCAGATGAAACCAAAATCGAACTTTTTGGCAACAATGCAAAACGTTATGTTTGGTGTAAAAGCAACACAGCTCATCACCCTGAACACACCATCCCCATTGTCAAACATGGTGGTGGCAGCATCATGGTTTGGGCCTGCTTTTCTTCAGCAGGGGCAGGGAAGATGGTTAAAATTGATGGGAAGATGGATGGAGCCAAATACAGGACCATTTTGGAAGGAAACCTGATGGAGTCTGCAACAGACCTGAGACTGGGACGGAGATTTGTCTTCCAACAAGACAATGATCCAAAACATAAAGCAAAATCTACAATGGAATGGTTCACAAATAAACATATCCAGGTGTTAGAATGGCCAAGTCAAAGTCCAGACCTGAATCCAATTGAGAATCTGTGGAAAGAACTGAAAACTGCTGTTCACAAACGCTCTCTATCCAACCTCACTGAGCTCGAGCTGTTTTGCAAGGAGGAATGGGCAAAAATTTCCGTCTCTCGATGTGCAAAACTGATAGAGACATACCCCAAGTGACTTACAGCTGTAATCGCAGCAAAAGGTGGCGCTACAAAGTATTAACTTAAGGGGGCTGAATAATTTTGCACGCCCAATTTTTCAGTTTTTTATTTGTTAAAAAAGTTTGACATATCCAATAAATTTCGTTCCACTTCATGATTGTGTCCCACTTGTTGTTGATTCTTCACAAAAAATTACAGTTTTATATCTTTATGTTTGAAGCCTGAAATGTGGCAAAAGGTCGCAAAGTTCAAGGGGGCCGAATACTTTCGCAAGGCACTGTATATATATATACATACACATACACACACATATATATATATATATTGTAAATAAACCAGCACTAAAATCAAGAAAGATGGACTCCTTTTCTACTCAGACCTGTCCAGAACTGGGGTATAACAGTCCTGCAGGGTGCCCTCAGTCCCTGGGGTCCAGAGTTTATCATTATGTTTTGTGTGTGCACAAACATGAAAAAGTAACATAACCAACAGCCATTGGGTTAGCCTGCTGCATGCCCACTTTGTAAACAAGGGAAGAGCAAATGTATAATAAAAATAATAATTATCATTAGTGACATTTTTAAAATGTCTCACACACAACTTTTTTGTCACTTATCACTACATAGACTTACATTCATTTCCAGGACGCCTACCCTAACTTTAACCAAAGCCGACACTTGCTCTGATCTTACAACTCCATCGTTTTATAAAATTCGACGCACTACAGTACACTGTAGGGACCAGCCCCCAGTCCTCACAAGTGACTTCCAGTCACCGCGGAGAGAGTAACGCAATGAAAAGCAAGGCCACACACACTTTTATAGTCAGTGTTCTCTGTTGCATTTGAATACATAAAAACAAATGAGTCTTAAGAAGATAGTCATTGGAAGGAGCCAGAATTTTACAGGAACACAGAGCAGTACTGTGTTTCTCCTGGTGGAACAGTTTTTCAACCAAATCAGTGACTATAAATGAACAAAATATGTTAGTTGGGTGACTACACTAACATGTTATTGTGTGCAGTAGGCTGACAGACACAACACCCATGCAGCAGCAGAACAAGAGCAGGTAACACTCTACGCTTAATGACAAGCTATTAGCCCCCTTCCGAAGTCCTCACATTGAGCTAAAAGCTAAGCTAGGAGCACAGTATGAATGACTTTCTCCTTGTATACAGTACTGTAAATCTCAATTAACTGACAATGCTCTATCCTCCTCTCCCAGTATAATATTTCATCATACCATCCTGAACTGGTTTAGGAATGCAGGAACTTTATCTGATGTTCAGTGGCAGAAAGGTAAGTTCCATTTTTGGTTCCTGAGCTATAGTTTCTGGCCCCAAAAACATACTTGCTTACAAGCCTGCACTTTCTGAATTGAACTATTAAGGTGGATTCTGCAGTGCTAAGCATAGCAGACAAGTCAAACACAAACCTCCACAGCATCTGTAAATGCTATGAGTACACACTGGCTGTCACAATAGCAACCTGACCAGACAGAAACTGATGTTAAAGGTACCGTATAAACACAGGAGATGATTCTACCTGTATTTGGAGAATGTCACTGACATGGCTGAATACATTCCGTTATGCTGCAATAAAAATAACCAACCGCCAGAACTCTCCCCATTTTATAAATCAGTCAGTGTGGGTCTGACTGACCTGAAGTGTGTTTTGACAGAGTTCCAACAGGCCCTGGATGAAGTAATACTTTGCCTCAGCCAGCAGCTCCTGGACAGCCTGGCGGCCTTTGGGTAAGGTGACTGTGCCATCACGCAGATAGCAAATGATGCTGCCAAAGTGTTTCCCACTGCGGTCAATCAGGATCCAACCTGAACAGAAACACAACATGTTAAGAATGTGAACATTTAACAGTTTCCTCTAAGCCACAGGTGCTCAGTGCTGTGCAGTTATGCAAGGCTTTCTCTAGTGTTATTTCAGTAAGATGATCTAATTCATTCTAGGCTAGGCAAGCTATGATCATGATGAGCAACAGGTGTGGTATTTAGACTTTTACAAAATCAACAGATAAGATGATTGTGATCTCATTTTGCTGAATATGCCATGAATGTGTCAGTGACACCATGTGTACTGTACAACTTTGCAGATAATCACTCATTTCACTCTAAATATCCCAGTCAAATGTTTTCTAATCTACAATATTATGTGCAATAAAATATTACAATGGCAATACTAGTTTCAGTGCTAATGTTGACAGATTTGTGTTATGGAAAGATTACAGCTCAATATTGCTTTTAGTCACTATCTAAACAGAACAGTCCATCTGTGTTTGTAGTTCAGAGATGGCATACCTTCTTTATCAGTAAACACTTCCTTCTTTCCACTGAACATGGCTTTCAGCATGGAGTTCTGCCTGGTCAGTACTTGCAGTGTGGTGTAAAACAGGGTACCACCGACATTAAGCCGGACATACTTATTCTCCAGGGCAACTGTGCCTCGATAACTGCAGGTGTTGGTCTTGGGACAGGTCAGAGGAGGGGCTGGGGAGGTGGAGTTGGGCTGGGCGTGATGCTGGGGTAGGCAGCTGTCTCCAGACATGTCCTTTTGGAGGTAGATGACCACCCTACAGACGGAGGCCCGAAGGTCCCCCGCCGTGGTGACAGCTACTGATGAGGCCGCCACAACCTCTTACTGCTCCAGATCATTCCTGACAAAACAGAGATCATTGAACTGGAGCTGAAATGGCAAAGGTCAATGTTGGTTAAGTCTGTTTTAACAGGTAAACCAGTTAAAAGCACTAAGTGGAAACCACCTACAACACTTATCTTTTCCTCAGTTCCCCTTCCCATTAAATGGAATGTGGCTGGGCAGGAAACTAAAGAGGCAGGGAGGGCATACATATCAGTGAATAGAGGAGTCAAGGACAACTATTACTAAATCTACAACGACAAGCAGCTCACAAATTTACTAAAATTAGCAGCCGCTTTACAACTTCGACCAAATTTTGATAGTGGCCCACGTTATAGTGGTGCTACAACTAATTTTAGCAGAATATTAACTGTAACAGCATTATGTACCGCATCAAAACCTTAAATTGCTTTATTATCTACACTACAGTGGTACAAGCTTTTAAACATAAGGGTTTTGACTTTGTATAGCTTGCGTGTTAGGTGGTTAATGTTACTGGGTACCAGACAGCATGTGTTTAATACAATCCACAGAAAGTGGCCTATCAGGGCTAGCTAGCTAACCTAGCTTAACAAACTAATAATAACCATTCTTTGGTAAATTAAAAGCTAGCATTATGTTGGTTAACTATTACTGAGTTAGTCCCCAATACTGTGTGATGCTACTTCAGTCACGAGAAAATAGTTATGTTATAATCAGTCTTCTTGATAGTCCACCTCTCAATGCTTGAAACAAAACCTTACTTTATCTTCTTCTTCTTCCTCGTCTTTCGGCTGTTCCCGTTAGGGGTCGCCACAGCAAATCATCTGTTTCCACCTAACTCTATCCTCGGCATCCTCTACTCTCACCCCAATTAACTTCATGTCCTCTATTAACACATCCATATATCTCCTCTTTGGCCTTCCTCTTGACCTCTTGCCTGGCAGCTCCATCTCCAACATCCTTCTACCAATATAACCACTATCCCTCCTCTGCACATGTCCAAACCATCTCAATCTGGACTCTCTGACCTTGTCCCCAAAACAGCCGACCTGAGCTGTCCCTCTGATGTGCTCATTCCTAATCCTGTCCATCCTGGTCACTCCTAAAGAAAACCTCAACATCCTCATCTCTGCTACCTCCATCTCTGCCTCTTGTCTTTTCCTCACTGCTACAGTCTCTAACCCATACAGCATAGCTGGTCTCACTACTGTCTTGTACACCTTTCCTTGGATTCTTGCTGACACTCTTCTGTCACACAACACTCCTGACACCTTTCTCCACCCACTCCAACACGCCTGCACTCGCCTCTTCACCTCTTTCCCACACTCCCCATCACACTGGACTGTTGACCCCAAATACTTAAAACTCCTGCACCTTCTTGACCTCAGCCCCCTGTAACCTCACTGTTCCACTTCCCTCCCTCTCGTTCATACACATATATTCTGTCTTACCACGACTGACTTTCATTCCTCTTCTTTCCAGAGCAGACCTCCACCTTTCCAGGTATTTCTCCACCTGCTCTCTGCTCTCACTACAGATCACAATGTCATCCGCAAACATCATTGTCCACGGAGATTCCTGTCTGACCTCATCTGTCAACCTGTCCATCATCATAGCAAACAAGAAGGGACTCAAAGCCGAAGCTTGATGTAGCCCCACCTCCACCTTGAACTCCTCTGTCTGACCTACAGCACATCTCACTACTGTCGTACTCCTGTCATACATATCCTGAACTACTCTGACGTACTTCTCTGCCACTCCTGACATCCTCATACGCTACCAAAACCTTACTTTATATAGTAGCTAAATGAAAGCGAATACAGACTCGCTTTCCGTCATTTTCCATTGCTATTTCCTACACAGAACACGTACTGTATCGTTAGGTGTTTAACTAATGTTTGCTAATAACATCACTGAATAGACTGGCAAATAATACAAACTAAGGTTAGTCAATTGTATAAATTGAAAGTGTAGTACAATTTTGGTTTAGATTTTTTTAACGATATTTAACACACACTGAATTAACTATAGTGTAAAACAACATTTAACGCTGATAAGACTACATGCTTTCTGTGCTGTATATTCAAAAATCACATTAACTAACAACATTGCCAGATTTTCAACTGAGTACGTTAACGTTAACGCTGAGATCTACAGCTACCTCCAGCGGTGAATACGTAACGGGAAACAGGATTACCAACTTTGACGTTTACTTACCGACGTCTCCATACTGTTTTTAGCTATTGTTAAATAACCACACACTGAATGGCTAATTAACCTCGCCTTTATTGTCGCAGACATCCACAGTAGTATTAAGATATGAGTTCTAGAAAGGTTAATTACTATTGCTACTGCTGCAGCTTCTTACTTTTTTTTAATGGCGGTCCTCCTCCTCCTTCTCCTCCTCCTGTTTATTGGCGGTTTGCAAGCCAACCTAAGGTGCATTACCGCCACCTGCTGAGCTGGAGTGTGGAACGATAATATAGCCGTAGAAATATATATTTAAAAAAAAGTTCTTATAACTGCATAAACTATAAATACCTATATCTGCCAAATAGCTAATAAAAACTCTATATGCTGTTTTACAAGTTAATCGCTCTCCTCGTCATTCCCCTCTTTCCTCTTCACCATCTTCTTCTTCTCTTTGTTTCTGGATTGCGAAACAACGATTAAGGTGCATACCGCCACCTACTGCATTGGAGTATGTAGAGTCGCTGCATTACATTATCTGAGCTCTCGAAATGGATAAAAACAAACAAAAATCTATTTGCTAATACTGTCCACAGACTGCATCATCTCTTTACTGGAGCACGAACATAGCACAGTATTTGAATACACCAGTTTTATAGAGTCGGCTATGTTATGATAACGACATTTTCGTTTTCATTTCAAAGTAAAAGCACCCAACACACACTGACAACATTTGCTGAACATCTCTGCACACGTTTCGGCGTATGACACGTTTAAGTTAACGATTGCTTCTATTCTGAATATATTGAAATGGCCAATGAGCTCTAAAGTCAAACATCACCCATACGTCTCCCTTCACCAATGACTGTAACGTTATATAGTATAAAAGATGGATAAACCCATCGTGCCGTGACAGGCACCAGCGTTTGGTTTCCTTGGCGGCAGTAGCAACAACAGGAGGAGCTTCGTTTATCAGTGCTTGCCACATAGTCACAAAAACCCAGAGATCGGGGTTAACGGCGACAACGGATTAGACCGGTGAAAGACATTGTTTGTTTTTTTTGTCACGAACGTAGCTAGGTGTGGTTTGATACAGCTATCTGAAGAATTTACTGGCCTTAAGGAGGGTAGTGTGTTTTTAAAACCCGCATTTAAATTAGATTTGTGAGCAAGCTAGCGAAATTTAGCTAACTAGCAAATGCAATTTAATTAGTTTTAGGAAGATAACATTACATTAACACGGTTAGGTAAGACCATATGAGATACACGGCGTAATTTATGTAAATTTATTTAATGTTGTTTGATACTTTTTACGTTAACGATAACTAATACTAGTTAGGTAAATATGCCGTGAGACCTAGCTTAACCAATCTTCATTTGCAAAACTATAACGTTATATACAAGGTAACGTTAACTTGAAACCTAGCTAACGTTTATGACTATATGTTAAGCGTCTAACCAACGTAACATTTTCCTGCAAAACGATGGCCATATGCCATATGGTGGTTTTCTCAGTGAAATTTATAGTTAAACAAAATGTTTGTTTTGCATCAACAAACAGGTCACATATTAATGTACTGGCAGCCAGTTGACAGTAACTGGAAACAGGCATGCTATCAGCAAACTAGACACTGTTACTGTTTGATAACGGGTTTGTAAACCACTTGTCAGCAAAAGTTATCAAATCAACAGACTATGTTCGAGTCTAAAGTTAAGCTAATGACATTTTTTACAGTGTCTGTGGAATAATTCTTGTTGAAGAGGAATACAGTCTGCAAAGCTTACAAGTAAACACTGTATTCTGTTTAGATGTGTGTACTAATCTTTGTTGTCCATTTCTTCAACCCTACTTGCCAGGCCCGGTGGCCATGGCTAAAGACCCATTAGCAGAGGCAGGCTTTTATTTTGATGAACTCAACAAGCTACGGGTATTGGAGCCGGATGTCAGCCAGAAGACCTCAGAGCTCAAGGAAGAGTGCAAAGAATTTGTGGACAGTAAGCACTGAAGATTTTGCCAAGTCCTTTTGGTTATGACCGTTTCCTCCCTCCAAAATCATCCAGGGGTAAAGGTGTATCAATTTGTTATCTTTTGCAGAAATTGGCCAGTTTCAGAAGATAGTTGGAGGTCTTATTGAGCTGGTTGATGAATTGGCAAAAGAAGCAGAGACAGAAAAGATGAAGGTAAATTTGACATTCATTTATTTTTTACAGAAGTTGTAGTTATTCTCATGTGCTAAAGCTTTGAAATACCTGAAGTAGCTGAACTGTTGTTCAACTCACCTTACTTGCTTTCAGATGTACTGCACAGTATGGGCCTCTGTTTGCTAATGAGAGCAAGACCCCTACTAATAATCATCATGGGTGTTCTCCTTTAGGCAATAGGAGCTAGAAACCTGTTGAAGTCAGTGGCAAAACAGAGGGAGGCTCAACAGCAGCAGCTTCAGGCTCTCATTGCAGAGAAGAAGATACAACTTGAGAGGTAAACAGCATATGGGTCCATTCCATAACCCAACCAAAACAGTGCTGGTTTATGCATGGATAGGTTATGTTTTTCACTCTGCTTAAAACTGAATATATGGTTTGAGCAGTAAGTGAGCAAAATGCCATGTGTATGATCAAAGTTAGTGGAGAGTACAACACATTTACTTGGTGGCTGTAATATACTGCACACAGAGACGGGCGTGTTTCTCTGTCTGATGTCTCTTTATTTCGCGCCGTTTCTTGGTGGTTCTTACAACAAGACAAGACCACGTTACAGGTCACATGACTATGGATGCCCAGCGGAACAAGAAACATACTGGAGCACAATACTTTACATCTTCCCCCTTAAAATTGAACAAGGGTTTTTGTTTTTTTGTTTTTGTTTTTTTTACTAGCTTCAAACCTGATATAACCACTGCACTGTCTGTTTTTTTTTT